CCGAGGCGACTACGTTCTCCGGTGGGGCCTGCCCTAGGGTCGCCTGCCAGTGCCATGGGGCTACCGACGGGGGAGTGGAGTGCCCCGCTGGCTGGTCTTGAAGACCGTGGAAAAGTCCCTTTCCCCAACCTACTAAGTGTCAGCAACCCTTGTCAACGCGTGTCGGGGTTGAGGCTAGGTTTGCCTAGTAGGTCCTTGTGGGCTTGGAACTCATTAACATGTACTGTCATCATTGCTGTTGAGGAGACTAACTTGGGAACTCTCTGCTTCATAGTAGGTCCCTAAAGTTTTCAAGACCAAGAAGGGACCAGTCTGAGGGATGATTTCGAATCTTCGTGGGTTTTTTAATCTGGATGATGTGGGCATTGTTGACATTCCCAGAATCTACTAGCGTTCATGATTTTGTAATTTTGGGCTGTTTCTGATTACTTCACTTATATTTTATGTTTTTTTGATGGGGGAGGTAGATTAACACTACAAATACATTTTGTAAATCTTCAATAATTGTCATTCAGAGGCCAGTGGTATTTGTGATTTTCTGGATCTTTCTCTGTCTGACCATATGATAAGAATGGTCTTTGTCTAACCCTGTTTTTGGCCATGTTTATAAGGGAAGCATTATTAACAGGTTAATGACAGTGTGTTATCACTCCACCCCCCCCTCTTTTTTAGGTTTGCCTGTTAGAGTAGAATGTAATGGCAGTAAGTCAGCCATTCAAAAGTAAATATTTATGAGGGAGGCTTTTTGCTCAGTATTGGGCACTACTCACCATGAGATATAAATATATAGTTACATTATCTTGTCTCAGGTAAAGTCTCAGTGTTTTCCTTACTTAACAGAGAGATTGACCATACAAACTCAAGGCAGTTGTGACAACATGCACAAGACCTGAGCAGACTCAATCCAGAAGAAATCCCAGTGTGACTTGGGGTGGGAGTGTTCATGAGGTTCCACCACTAGCCGAGGAGTTATTGGCATTTGATAGCTGCTGGGAGAGAGTCAGTTTTCTTTAGTAGCATGACCCCTGGTAGGTCAGCCACATGTCAGGGCAGGCTCCAACCCAAGAACAGCTGGGCAAAACAAATGGAACTCCATGGTTTCAGAAAAAAGAAAAACTGGAGGGACTTGAAGTTGGGTGGGTAGGTAGATGGGTGGATCTGGAGGAGGTGGTGGAGGGGAAGTGACTATGTTCAAAATACATTGTACAATTCTCAAAGAGTTAATAAAATATCCAAAAATACTGCTGGAAGTTACCACTTGATTAAGTTGCCAAATAAACGATTGAATGAAAATAATGCTGTAGGAATTCAGAGACTTCGAGAACTGAGTGGTCGGTCAGCCCGTTTAGTTGAGGAAAGCGGGACTGCCTTGTTTTGAAGCATTTGGGTTGGGATAGTTAAGGTGGAAAGTTCATATAGGAGAAGGAATGTAAGAAAAGGTGCAAAGGCCAGAGTTCAAGGCTTATTGGGGAAGGAGAAAACCAGTTTGGTTGGGAGACCAACAAGCTTGAAAAGGCAAAGACAGCTGTAAGCTCTGAGAGGTTTCAAAGAAGGTAAGAAACAGAATTGAGGAATCCAACTTTAGGAGTGAAGAGGAAAGCTCGATTGCAGGAGAGGTGTGGGTCTCATCAACACTAGTGGAAAGGTAAAATACCAGAGTTGAGGATAAAATGTTTTGAGCACATTGCTGTTGGGGATCCTGTCTGTATATGTAAGAATGTCTGAACTGATGTGGAAATGTAACATTGGAACCCGCCTGGGATGAGAAGAATAATAATTCTGAAGTAAGTCATATGCCTATCTATTGACATAGGTGAGATTTCAAAATTAGCCAATTATTTAACATGAAGTGGGGATTATAAATCACATTTATACTTTAAATACAGTTCTTGGATCTGAAAAATGTTTTTTTTTTTGTTTTTTTTTTTTTTTGTTTTTTGGTGGGATATAGAGGACATGCTATGTAGCCCAGGAGCAAAGCATTTTTATATTCAAGTGTTTTTGTTTGTTTAAGATTTTATTTTTAATTATGTGTGTACGTGTGTGTGTGTGTGTGTGTGTGTGTGTGTGTGTGTGTCTGTCTGTCTGTCTGTCTGTCTGTGTGTGTGTGTGTGTGTGTGTGTGTGTGTGTAGGACCAGGCATATGAGTGACAGTGCCATGTAGTCCAGAAGAGGACATTGGATCTCCTAGAGCTGGAGTTACAAGTGGTTGTGAGCCACCCAGTGTGGGTGCTGGGTACTCAGTCTGGTCTTCTGCAAGAACAGTTTGTGTTCAGATCCCCTGAGCCACCGCTCCAGCCCATGTTCTCCTTGGATTTTAATGGGAGCCAGGTTTCTATTAAAAGTATTATAATTCTTTCCTTCCAATATTAACATTGTCATTTTTGTTGTTGTTGTTTTGGTTTTCAAGACAGGGGTTCTCTGTGTAGCTTTGGAGGCTGTCCTGGCACTTGCCCTGTAGACCAGGCTGGCCTCGAACTCACAGAGATCCTCCTGCCTCTGCCTTCCAAGTTCTGGGATTAAAGGTGTGCGCCACCAATGCCTGGCTCATTGTCATGGTTTTTAATATGTCCAAAAAAATCTCATTCCAGAAAATAATATAATTTACAAAGATCATAATAGTAATTTGAACTAAAAGTCAGTTTTTTAAAGTGCATGTAAATCATTGCATTTTGCAGTTTTACTTCTAAGATCATTTTTATTCTGCCACACTTTGCATATTACAGGTCCCATTTTTTCACGTTGAAACTTGGTACTGAACAATCCTATGGACATAAAAACCTCTTACGGAATTTGGAAGATGTGAAAATTTGAGGGACTAAGTGTTGTGTTTGTGATCATGTATCTCTGTCGTGTCCCTCCTGCTCCCTGTCAAACCCTGGGCCTTGAACAGTTTGGGCCTGAGCTCTACTACATGGAGTTAGAGCTTCATTTGAGGGACTGAGTTTTAAAGACTACAGAGGAAGGTTTTAGGAGGCAGACATATTTCAGATTGGTTTAGAAAATTATCATCATATACTTCCTTGCTATATGAAAATAACTATACATGCTTCTACTCCTTCTCATAGTTTGACCCTTTATTTGATGAAGCTCAAGATACAGATCAATTGTGCCTCAGTTGTTTTGATGTGTGGCATATGTGTGATGTAAAAATAGAAGCTGTCGTTGGCTTAGCTTTTTCCTCATTTGCTCTTTCTCATGGACTGACAGTCACCGGGAGAGAGGGAACAAGAGGATGAGTGGTAGTCCAGGATTCCTTAAACTAAGTGCAATAGTATTAGTTTGCTTTTTGTTGTTGTTGAGACAAGGTTTTACTGTGTAGCCTTGCCTGGCCTGGAACTCAGATCTGCCTCACAAGTGCTGGAATTAAAGTTGTGTGCCACCATGCTGCCTAGCAATTAGTAGCTTTTTGATGTGATGGGGTAATCAGCTATGTGGCTTCTTGACCTCCATCTTCTTATTTTTAATTTTTTTTTCATTTTGTGTGCATTGTTTTGCCTGCATGTAGGTCTGTGTGAGGGTGTCAGATCTTGGAGTTACAGGTAGTTATGAGGTGCCATGTGGTTTCTGGTAATTGAACTCAGGACCTCTGGAAGAGCAGTAAGTGCTCTCAACTGCTGAGCCATCTCTCCAGCCCCTCCATCTTCTTTTTTATTTTAAGATTAATTTTCTTTTAAATCATGTGTATGGGAGGTCAGAAGAGGGCGTCTGATCCCCTGGACGGGGTGTTACAATCAGTTGTGAGCCATGGCATGGATATTGGGAACTGAATTTGGGGCCCTGCAAGAGCAGTGTTCACTCTTAACTTGCAAGACAGTTTTCCAGCTCTGGTTTTTCTTTTTTCTTCTGCCCAGGCTGGCTTTGAACCCTTTTTATTTCCGGACTCAAATTCTCTAGTGCTGGGATTAGAGTCATGTTGTACCACAGCTGACACATTGCATTTGTGAAGAAAGAATTCCAGATGTGTTTTTAAATTAATAATGACATTTTATAAGCATAGTCATTTTTGGTGCTAAGTTCTCAAGAATTAGTGTAAAACCAAAAGTGGGTTAATTACTTCATTGACATAGCTTTTAAAGTCTGTGAAAAATAGATAAACAGGAGACTCTAGAGAGTGCTGGAGCTTTAACTAATCTGTCATTAAATTAATTCTTTAGTGGTAATTATTTTGGATAAAAATTGTTTATTTTCCTTTAAGGTTTAATATAGACCTTGGATGTCCAATTTCATATTACCACATTTTTTTATTTGGACTAACTTCAGATATATTTGAAACAGTTTTATCTTTTTTGTTTGTTTTTGTTTGACATATTCTCATGTACCCCAGTGTGGCCTCCAACTTGCTATGTGGCATATAATTGTAGCTAACCTTATACTCCTAACCTTTGTGCCTATACCTCCCAAGTGCTGGGATTCAGGCCTGTGTGTGCCTCTAGGCCTGCCTTGAAGTTTTATCTTTGATGTTTCCATGTTTGTTTTTTCATTAACAGAGATGGATGATGAAGATTGTGAAAGGAGAAGGATGGAGTGTTTAGATGAAATGTCCAATCTTGAGAAACAGTTTACAGATCTCAAAGATCAGTAAGTACCAACTTCAGAAGGTCATTGTCACTGATTCAGTGGTATCATTTTTACTAGCACAAGACCAATTATGTGGTCTCTGCTGTGTTCCCTTTGTGTTTTATGAGAACAGACTGGTCTGATCTGAAGGAGGCTTCGATTATTGTTTACTCGCTGGAGACCTCACTAACTAAACACAGTTTTGAGGCAAGTAAGCTTTTGGGGGTGGGATGGAATAGATGACTGGCATGTTGATGTTAGTGATTCAGGTGTTTGCATCGCTGCACACTTGGAGCCAATCTGCATTATTCATTCCTTTGTTAAATAATTGGCTGAAGATTTTTTTCTTCTGCTGTTGGAGATGAAACCCTGTACATGATAAACAAGTGCTCTGTCACTGAGCTATAGTCCCAGATCCCTCTGTCTTTCTTTTGAGACAGGGTCTGGCTAAGTTACCCAGGCTGGCCTTGAACTTACCTTGTAGTTAAGGCAGGCCTTGGACTTGTGATCCTTCTAACCCAGCCTCTAGTATAGCGGGTTTACAGGTCTGTACCATCAGGCAGAGACACCATTTTTAAAATTTGAGAATAAAATAATTGTTCTCCAGTTTTCTATTTGGTAATTGATTTTATATCTTAACATCAAATAGTATGTATATCATCTATTTCACATGTGTTACTTAATTTACTTGTAATAACTCTGTAAGGTTGGAAGGTAGTCTTCCATTTTAACAGTGAAGAAACTGATGTTCAAAGAGGTTTATTTGTTCCCATACTTTATCAAAAAGTGTAAATGAAGTCAGGCCTTTTGCCTCTAGTGTTACATGTGCATTCCACTAATGGCTCTTTTCTTTGGAGAAATTGTTATAGAGTGGAAGAGCATAGGCTCCGAATCAGATTTGAATGCATTTTAAAAAATCCTCTCTCTCTCTCTCTCTCTCTCTCTCTCTCTCTCTCTCTCTCTTTCTCTATGTGTGCTTTGCATGCATGTATGTCTGTAACATCACATACATATGGAGGCCAGAAGAGGGCATGGGATCCCCAGTGACTGGAATTACAGAGAATTGTGAGCTATCATTTGAGTGCTGGGAATTAAACTCCCATCTCTGGAACAGCAGCCAATGCTCTTAACTGCTGAGCCATCTTACCAGCTCCTAAACCAGGCTTTCTTACCAGATGCAAGGTGATAAGGTGCTGGGGATGAGTTCAGTGGTGGAGAACGTACGGAGTGGACGAGGGTAGAAAGCCCAGTTGGATGCCCAGCAACAGAAGTAAATAAGTAAATGTGTTCATCTATATATAAAAACAATGCTGTTAGTGATCTCACAATCCACTGTGAAGATTAAGGAGTGTCTTTGTCAGTGTTCTGTTGCTGTGAAGAGACCATGACCACATGGATTCTAATGAAAGAAAGCATTTAATTGAAGCTGGCTTACAGTTTCAGAGGTTTAGTCCATTATCATCAGGGTGGGAGCATGGTGGTGTGCAGCCAGGCATGGTGCTGGAGAAGTAGGATCCACAGGCAACAGGAAGAGAGTGCCACACTAGGTCTGGCATGGGCTTTTGAAACCACCAACAAGGCCACACCTTCTAATCCTTCTCCAGTAGTGGCTCCATTAGTCATGACTAAGCATTCAAAAATATGGGCCTATGGGGGCCACACTTATTCAGACCACCACAAAGTCCTATATATAAAATTCTTTGACATTCGCTTGGCATGTGGTGGTAATAACTTTTCTTCCCACTTTACCTCCTTTTGTTTTTGATCCTGGAAATTGAATTAGGGGTCCAGCATGTGCTAGATAAGCACACTCTTACTGAACTACATCAGCAACCCAGTTTTTAATTTTGAGAGAAGAATCGTGTGAACTTGTTCATGCTAGCTTAGCTTCCACTCTGCTGCTGTTCTGCCTCAGCCTCCTGAACCAAGGTGATATTGTAGTTGTGCATCGCCACATTTTTATTCACCCTCCACTTCCTTGTTAATTAATGCCAGAACTCTTGTGAAATCCATGCCACAAACATGGATTTCTTATGAGTTCTTTTTTTTTTTTTTTTTTTTTTTTTTGTGTGTGGGTGTGTGGGGGTGTGTGGGTGTGTGTGTGTGTGCTGGCTATTTTTATGTCAACTTGACACAATCTAGAGTTATCTGGGAAGAAGGAATGTTTTTTGTTGTTGTTTTTGTTTTTTTTTTGTTTGGTGCTGGCTATTTTTATGTCAACTTGACACAATCTAGAGTTATCTGGGAATGTTTGTTGTTGTTGTTTTTGTTTTTGTTTTTGTTTTTTGTTTGTTTGTTTTTGTTTTGTTTTTTTCGAGACAGGGTTTCTCTGTGTAGCTTTGGAGCCTATCCTGGCACTCTGCTCTGTAGACTAGGCTGGCCTTGAACTCACAAAGATCCACCTGCCTCTGCCTCCCAAGTGCTAGGATTAAAGGCATGCACCATCATCGTCCAGCTGAAGAAGGATTGTTTTTAAAAAGATTTATTTATTTTATTTCATATGTATGACTATTTTGCCTGCATGTATGTCTGTATACCATACGTGTGCCTGGAGCCATGGAAGCCAAAGGAGGGCATTGGATCTCCAGAAACTGAACTTACAGATAGTTGTAAGCTACCATGTGGCTGTTGGGAATTGAATCCAGATCCTCTGGAAAAGCAACAAGTGCTCTAAACCACTGAGGCATATCTCCATTCTGGAAGAAAGAATATTAATCATTTTTTTTGCATCAAATTTAAAATCTTTACTTTTTCATCTTACTCCAAGTTCCTTGCCTATTTTTAGCCTGTCACACGGTGTATCTCTGTAGGGTGTCTTAAAGCTTAAGAAGGGATAGGGAAGGATACAGTTGTGCTGCTCCTTCTATTTTAGCACCCTAGGGTGCTGGAGGGTTCTGCATGAAGCAGTCAGCCCAGCCAATGCAGTTTCTGTAGTGTGGAGATGACATCTTCCACTACCTTCAGAAGACAGAGGGGTTTCCACCAGATTCTCAGTCACTAAAAGTATTTATTTAGATTTATTCATTTTCTGTATATGTTTTGCCTGCATGTGTGCCTGGTGCCCTCAGAGGTCAGAATAGGGCATCAGATCACCTGGACCTAGAGTTAGGCATGGTTGTGAGCCATTACCTGGGTGCTAGAAGTTGAACCATCTCTCTAGCCCCCTCATTCATTTTAGTATTTAACAATGAATAATTGATTGAGAGTTTACTCTGTAACAGTATAGTTACTGTTGAAGGGTATGTGTTTTTGAATTTGAGCTTGAATCCCAAGCTTATAGAATTTATATTGATTTTGAGGAGTCTATATTTTGGGAAGGGTAGATGAGCTGGTCATGATGGCGCATGCCTGTAATTCCAGTGTTAGGAGGTTGAGGCAGGAAGATGGAGAGTTCCAGGTTAGCGTGGGATACATAGTGAGACCCTGTCTTTAAAAAATTATATAATTCATTTCAATTCCATTACAAATTCAAAGAGCCCTGTCAGCATTTTGCATATATTTGAAGTTCTTGAGCCGTGTTACCTTTCAGCCAACATTTTAGTGAGTTTTCTTTAAAATATATTATAATTAAAAAAAAAACTATCAGTCATATCATACTTTTGGCTTTATATGTTCATGGCTGTATTTTGAGCTCAGGAAACTTTAACCCAGATGTAGGAGTGTATTATTTTGACAGTTAACTCTATAAATCATATGTTGTTGTTGCTGAGGGACCACATAGACAAAAGTAACTGTTTATTGTATTAACACTCAAACTTGCCTTGCCACTTAAGAGTGAGCCTATTGGAAGCAGAGGCAGGCGGGTCTCTGGGAGTTTGAGGCCAGGCTGGCCTACAGAGCAAGTTCCAGGACAGTCAGGGTTACACATAGAAACCCTGTCTCGAAAAAAACAAAACCAAAAACAAACAGGCAAAAAAGAATTAATAGGATTTCCTGTTAAGAAGAACCCTATATTGGAAAATTATTTTAAAAAAAGTTTCTCACATACTGAATCTTTTTGATAATCCAACTGTTATATCAGCTGGTAAGGTTTTTTTTTTTTTTTCCAACCTGGTATTGCTGAGTTAACCCCATGCCTTGTACATTCCATATAAGTCTTATATTGCTGAGCTGTATTCATAGCTTCAAATTAAGGTGCTTTCCCTGACTTTTCTCTTTTCACAGTATCTGTAAACATATTGGCCAATGGGACAGTAGAGACCCCTTACCCATTTTTTATTTCATTCTTTTAAAAAGCAATGATAAAAATCATTTGTTTATTTTTTAGATTTTTATTTGTTACAATTATTTTTTTATTTTATGTGTTTACCCACGTTTGTGTCTTGTACCATGTGTGTACAATGCCCGTGATGGCCATAAGATCTCCTTAGACTGGAGTTACAGATGGTTGTTAGTTACTTTGTGGGTGCTGGGATTTGAACCTGGGTCCTCTGGTTGTGTTTTTTTTTTTTTTTTTTATTATCTGTGTGCATATGTGAGAATGTATGTGTAAGTGCCATGTATGTTGTGCCATGGTGCCAGTCAGAGGACAAATGACAGGAGTTAGTTCTCTCCTTCTGCCCTGTGAATTCGGAGGATCAAACTCAGGTCATCAGTTTTCGTAGCAAATGCCTTTATCCAGTGAGCTGTCTTATTGGTCCTAAGATGTAGCCCAGGCTGCCCTCCAACTTGTGTTCCACCTGCTTCTGTCTTTTTAGCATATCCACCAGAGTGTGTCTCCACAACTGGGTTCTTTTTCTTTTTGTGTAGTTTATTACATGTAGTCCAGGCTGTGCAGAGCTCACTATATTCCCCAGGCTGGCCTCAAACTTAGGCTGTCTTCTACCTGTTTTCCAAATGCTGGGATTACAACAGCCTTGGTATGGTAGGTACTATCTATGCTTAGTTTCCATTTTCATTTCTTCAGCTATTAACTCACGTTATTTCACTTTCTTCATTTCTGGTTGAGTTGAGTTGTGTATTGTGTATACCAGATCATGGGCTCTGTAATCATTTCTCCTGCCGCTGCTGCTCCTGCTCCTGCTCCTGCTCCTGCTCCTTCTTCTTCTTCTTCTTCTTCTTCTTCTTCTTCTTCTTCTTCTTCTTCTTCTTCTTCTTCTTCTTCTTCTTCTTCTCCTCTTCCTCCTCCTCTTCTTCTTTTTAAACACTAAACAGGAGCCATGCATAGTCACTCTCATTTGGAATCTTAGTATTCAGGAGGTTGGGACAGGACCTCCGTGAGTTGAAGACTGACCTGGGGTACATAGTGAATTTTAGACTAGCCTGAGTTTTATAGTGAGACCTGTCTCAAAATACCAGAAACAACAAATGAAAATTAAATAGGTGAATATGGCACTGTGGAGAACAGCCAGGAATTTACTTACTCTGACAATAATATCATCTATACCCGAACTATTAAAAGTGATTTCCTTCTTTTAAGCTTTTCTTTTAGAATTGATTTATTGTTGTTCAATTAAAACAAAAATTGGGAGTTCCAAAATAGTCATTTCAAGTTTTTTTTTTTTTTCTTTTTTTTTGAGACAGGGTTTCTTTGTGTAGCTTTGGAGCCTATCCTGGCACTCACTCTGGAGACCAGGCTGGCCTTGAACTCACAGAGATCCACTTGCCTTTGCCTCCCAAGTGCTAGGATTAAAGGTGTGTGCCACCAAAGCCCGGCTCAAGGTTTGTTTTTCTTTACACTATTATTTTTTTGAGATGGTTCTCACTGTGTCGCCCATCTACCTTCTCTCCTCACTCCCCTCCTGCAGTAGCTTTAGACAACAGACAAGGCCACTGAACCTGAATTTTAATTGCATTTTTTGTTGTGATGAAAAGAGTGATTCTGATTTAAAAAACCTTGGACTGGTATCTAATTTAATATCATGATGTATATAAAGTCACATAATGTAAGTGACTTCTGAATGCTCTCAAGGCAGGGATACATTTGATAGGTTATTGGAACATAAGCACTATTAGGAAGCAATAATGCATGGGGGTGGCGAGTCGTTCTTGTTCGTGGGGAGCTTTAATTAGTGTCTAACTTTTCGCTTTGTTAAGGCTGTATAAGGAACGGTTGAGTCAGGTAGATGCAAAACTCCAAGAAGTCATGGCTGGGAAAGCACCAGAGTATTTGGAGCCGCTGGCAACTTTGCAAGAAAACATGCAGATTCGCACAAAGGTGGCAGGTAAGGAAGTGAGCCACTTTGTATACTTTGTGATGCTTTGATTTTGTGGCGTTGTTTGGGTAAATATGTTGCCGATGGCATAGGTCTAGGTATCTGCCACCCTCCTTGACTGTACAGACAGCTGATTGTGTTGTCGTTGAGTGTACACATCTAATGTCATCTGCTTACCACGTCTGCACGTGCGTGTGTGCATGGTCTTGCCGCCTATTTTATAATGCTACCTCATTCCCTGGAAGACTAGCACTCGGGCATCTGCCTTTGGGAGCACTCTCAACATGATCTGCCCTGTTCTGCCAGTTTACACAGTCTTCTTTTGAAGCGTTGGACTGCAAAGACTAGTTTGGACACAGTGGTTTGGACAGAGTAAGGGATCCATTTCTTGCTTTAATTATGTACACTTGATGAAACCAGAGTTTATTGTCTGTCTCCCTTCAGTTAAGAGGAATCTGAGGATTGTTTTTGTCGGAAGATTGTGCTTTTCATTTTGATCATTTCTATTGGATATTTAGGAATGTTCTTGCAAGTATGAGGCTGTGTGACTTCTTCCTAACTCACGAATTCTTATTTTCTCATCTTCTTTGTTATGTGTTTTGATTTGAGTCTTTTTTTTTCAGTTTGGTTTTTTTCAATATTTTTTTTTTTCAGTTTGGTTTTTTCAATATTTTTTTCTTTTTCTTTTCTTTCTCTCTCTCTCTCTTTTTAGGATCAAGTTAGAGTCATTTGTGACTTTCTTACTGAGTCATTTTCTAAACTATGGTGCAGACAGATTGTGGGGAAATACTGATGACTCTTTAGTGCCAACATAATTGGAATCATTGTGCTTGGTTGCAGGAATCTATAGAGAGCTCTGCTTAGAATCTGTGAAGAACAAATATGAATGTGAAATCCAGGCTTCTCGCCAGCATTGTGAGGTACTGCCATTCTGTCTAACTTTTCAGATAATTCCATCTCTCCAAGTCTTTTCTGAGTATAGTAGGTTAAAAAGTCAATAAAATAAGTGAAACAAAATGCAGTGGTGCTTTAGCTTATCACTTGGGTGAGTTTAAAGTGCAGTTCTACTGGAAGCTGGACTGGAAATGGACTCCAACACAAGAATGACTTGTGATAATTTCCCAAGTTTTGCAACTGTTATTTAAAAAAAATTTATATTGTGGTACTGGGAAGCAACAGACAAGTGCTGTACCACTAAGCTGCAGCCACAGCCTGCGGCTGTTACTTTAGAGAACTTGGTAGTGGTCATGTCATCAGACAACTGATAGTATAATTAGCACAATATAGAAGTTTAGGATGAAAACGTATATGCCATAGTGCAGTTAGAACATTGCACTATGGAGTTAATTTTTGACTATCTGCACTGGTTTCCACATTTCAGGGTAGCATTTTCTATGTGAAGAAAGTAGAGGTGCATTTTCTTTATGTCGTGTTTATATTGAGTAGTGTTTAAGAACATCATGCTAATTTTGAAAATAACTTTATGTGAGACTTAGATATTTTAGAAGACTGAGACAATAATAAATAAGGGAACAAGTTCTAGAATGACTCCTAATTTTAATTAAAAAGATTTTATTATTTTATGTGTATGTGTGTTTTGCCTGAATGTATGTCTGTGTACCTATGTGTGCCTGGTATCCTTGGAAGCTGGAAGAGGGCAGTAGATCCCTGGGACTAGAGTTATGTATGGTTGTGAGTCACCATTGGGTGCTGGGGAATCTAACCTGAGACTTTTGCAAGACCAGCAAGTGCTCTTAATCACTGAACCATCTCTCCAGTCTCTAACTCTCCTTATTTTAATATACCATATCTGAATAGGTATAAAAGGAGTGGGCCCTATTGCTTTTTTTTGGTGCAGGGGGGATAAGATCTCCAAATGTAGCCATACATAGTCTGGAACTAGATGTGTAGAGTACTGGCCTTGAACTTCCAGAGATCTACCAGCATCTGTCTCCTGAGTGGTGTCTTTAATGCACCACACAGAGACAATTATTGCGTTTTCCCCCTCCTTGAGACACGGGCTTACTATGTAGTACAAGCTGGCCTTGAACTTTCTATCCGCCTGCCTCTGCTTCTTAAAGATAGTGATAACAGGTGTGCCATGGTGCCAGGCACATTGTTAATACTTTGTTTTAGATGTTTCATTCCTTTGTTTATAAGTGAAATTTAGTTTTCAAATATTAGGACTGTCTTTGATTTCAGGATGTATAAGACAAATTAGGAATAACTGATATTTTTTGTATTTATGTATTATGTATTTAAGACTTTATAGTTCTTCAAGTGTTAAGTACGTGTGCTTATGATTTAAAATTATTTATTTTATTTGTGTGGGTGTTTTGCTTGCTATACACCAAGTATGTGCAGTGCCCAAGGAGGCCAGAAGAAAGTATTGGATTATCTTGAACTGGAGTTACAGACAGTTGTTAGCCTGCATGTTGGTGCTGGGTACATTGCTAGTTTTCTCCAGTGGAGTACTTCCTTAGGCTTTCCTTGACTTCCTGATCTGTTATTTATTTTTTATGATGCTACAGATTTAATCACGGTCTTTGCTTGCTCATATTTAAGAGCAAGGTTTTGTAAATTTGGAATATCACTAATGCTATATTTTTATTGAATTCTGCTGAGTGCACAATTTTAATATGTCCCATTATTGGTGATGTTACTTGTATCACTTGATTGGAATTGCAGCTTTCTCTAAGTAATTATCTTTAAAACTGTACAAACAACTTGTTTCTCATAACAATTTTCCATTTGTTTGTTTATATTAATATGAAGTCATTGTTTCTTCTTTTTCTTTCTTTCTTTCTTTCTTTCTTTCTTTCTTTCTTTCTTTCTTTTTTTTTTTTTTTCAAGACAGGAGTTCTCTATATTGCTTTAGAGCCTGTCCTGGCATTCACTGTGTAGACCAGGCTGGCCTTGAATTCACGGAGATCTGCCTCCTCTGCCTCCGGAGTACTGGGATTAAAGGCGTGCACCACCAATACCCCATTGTTTATTTTTGTTTTTGTTTTTGTTTGCTACCTTCTGAGGGAAATATGTTAAAATTTCTATATGTGTTTCTTAGGATTTTATTGCTGTGAAGAGACAACATGACAATGGCAGCTCTTATAAGGGGGTGGTATATAGTCTATTATCATCATGGCTTAAAACATGGTGGCATGCAGGCAGACATGGTGCTGGAGAAGGAGCTGAGAGTTCTGCATCTTGATCCACAGGCAGCAGTATGAGACTATATATACTACACTGGTCATAGCTCGAGTGTATATGAGACCTTAAAGCCCATCCCTGCAGTGACACACTTCCTCCAATAAGGCCACACCTCTGAATCCTTCCGAAACAGTTCCACCAATTGGATACCAAGTATCCACACCTGTGAGCCACTCAGACTATGACAGTATCTATTTTTAACAAATTTATCTTTTTTGATGACATTATTAAGAGTTACTCTCATAGCAACTTCCAAGTGTGCAGTGTGTAACCAGTACCAGTAGTTACCACTGTTGTGCAGTAGGTCCAGGACCTATTCTTCTTGTCTAAGCTTTGTGTCTTTTGGCCAGCGTCTTCTGTTCCCTTCCCATCCCTAGTGCCTGGTGACTCCCAGTCTACCCTCACAGTTGCTTCGAGTTATTATACTACTTTTTTTTTTTCTTTTGAGTCCATATGTAAGTAAGATCCTATAGCTTTTGTCTTTCTCTGTCTGGTTTGTTTTACTTAGAATAAAGTTCATCTATGTCACAAATAACAGGATTTTATTCTTTGTAAAGGCTAAATGGTATTTCATTATATATATCTATTTTGTGCATCACATTTTCTTCATTTATCTGTGGGTGGTCAGTTAGGCTGATTACTCATAACGTGGGCATTGTGATGCTGCAGTGAATGTGGGCGCATGTTTACCTCTTTGACATATTATATTATTTTCATTTGTGACAA